TTTCTGTCAAAATTATATATATTTGGAGACTAAGAGTTAGTTAAAAGTAATGGGACATACACACACACACACGTTTAAATCCAAATAGTCTCGTTTCAGACTGTTAGTTGGACTGGAAAACAAGACGCCTAATCCATCTTACAAAACATTTAAGGTAGACTGAGTAGAGCAAGTCATTTATTCTACCCTGCCACGAAGTTGGAGGGGATTTGGGAAGGTGTTCTGTCTGGTCATCCTTCAGTCGGTCATGTTTTGTTTCTGGAACAAAACTTGAAAACACAACAATATTTTATTGTGAAACTGCCTATGTTTCAAACCAATGATGAACTTTTGTTTTCTGATGTTTTGGTATTTAAAAAATATAGATCAGTGTTAAAACGGTGTTTCCTCTGTTTATTAAAGGGTAGTAGCTGCAATAGGAGCACATTATCTCAGAAATTACCGAAGTTATATGAATAAAACCTTGCATGCTTTTATTTTTTAAGGCTTTTTGGGGGTTGGGGGTGTCCTATACATGGTAATATACAGTACTTATTCACTACAACACAAAACCTTTCAAACTTTCCCACTTGAACACAGGACCAGTGAGTGGACATTAATTAGTGGTCCTGTCTGTACTTCACTGGTCCTAAATAACATTCGTAGATTTACTTAACTATCAATACAAAATTCACTGGCCACCAGGACCACTGCAAACTTATCATTTAGTGGTCCTGATGAATTTTTCTAACCAGGGACCACAGGACCAGCGTAAATTTCGCACACTGCATTATGAACAAAAAAGACTCTAATGTGCCCAGTGGCTGGGGATAGTAGTGAGGTTGTGTTCTTGTTAGAAGTGTTGTATTTGTTAATTAGTTCCAAATACATAATAGATGATACACATGCTGCACTCAGTGTCCTGAATCAACAGAACAAACCTGGAAAACACCACTCAAGGCTCGGTGCAGCAGCAAATAAGCCAACAGCACTGTATTATGTGTGCTTGACAGACATTCAGCATATTTCCTTGTTAGGTCTCTCATTAGCTCTGTTATCTAAATTGATTGCTTTCAAGGTTGTACGATTTCTTGAATGTCCTTCACCTTTCTGTTTAGATCTTGCAAGGTACAAAATATTGTGACAATCAATAGCGGTAGAGTCTGCTGTTTGTGGAAATGGAAGAACTAGTCCTTCCTGCAAGTGACATGTCAAGTTGTGTTGATTATTTGGTTCTGAGAGAATGACCAGATTTTATTGACACCTTGTTGGAGCAGATACTCGTGCATTTCTACATTATTAAAATCGACTACTGTGGCATTGCTTGATAGAAGGTTTTGATTTTCAAGTTTGCAATCGAATTCCATGTTTCATAGCCAGCAATCGAATTCCATGTTTCATAGCCAGTGATGGAGTTATGTTGAAGTTTGTACTGTCAGAAGGTGTTGTGTTGAAGTTTGTAAAGGGACCAAGGTAAATAGTTCCAGTTAGCTAATGTTCCTCACAACTGAAAATGGTTGCTAAATAATAAATGCACAGGGACCGATCTTTTACAACTATATGTTTGACAGAACAGTGATTGACTGTGTCTCCTATACAGGAGGCCTCGTTTCACTAAGGGATAATACTAATAATAACTCCAAGATGATCAAACCCGTGAAGGTCTGGGTTAGAATGAATCTTCAGTAACCCATGCTTGTCGTAAGAGGCGACAAATGGGATCAGGTGGTCAGGCTCGCTGGCTTGGTTGTCATTGGTTCCCAATTGCGCAGATCGATGCTCATGCTGTTGATCACTGATTGTCTGGTCCAGACTCGATTATTTACAGACTGCCGCCATATAGCTGGAATATTGTTGAGTGCTGCGTAAAACTAAACTCACTCACTCTAAGATCATCATAACTCCCACACTTCAGCATAAACTTACATAAGTCGTAGTGCTAAGATAACTAACAGGACATGGCTTTTTATCATTGAAAATATGTAAGCGTTGCAGTAACCCATGAGATGATTAGTTTGAGCAAACCACACTCTGTTAGGCATTAAGTAGATTGTATTATTCCTTTAGTGACTGCGTGGCTGTGAGAATAGGCTGCAGGCCAATAAACATGGCTCATATTTGCAGGATACGGGACATATTAATATGATTAATGAAGAGTTTATATCACTAGGAGGCATGTTGCTGAACTTGAAGGTAAACACTGTCAGGCTCCAAGTCTGCAGATAGACTATTTGTTTATGTGTCTGCATATTTGACCTGACCCTCTTGCTTCAAATAGAAACTTTAAATATATATAAAGAGCTTTATTGATGTTTTGAGACATTGTTCAGTTTGTTCCACATTTTGTTTGACATCACTGCAAACTATAAACACAATCAGTGGGGTTGCTGTCTGGTAACTTTGTTCAGTCTAGCTAAAGTATCTCATATACAACATTGTACTATGCTTGGTGGTGTACAGTACACTACCCTGTGCACTTAAAAGACACCACAAATCCGTTGGTAAATGACCAGATGGTGGCCACATGAATACGTGCAAACACCTAGTTGTGGGTACAGCAAGGTGCAGTAAACTTGGACAAAGTACTGTGACTATATGTCCCAGTCCACCCAGCTGTGAATGGGTACCTCGAAAGGATGGGAAAGTCACATTAACTCAGTGCGCCTAGTGGCTGCAAGAGTTGTATACTCCCCAAGGAGTTGAGATTGATAATATGATGTGCTGCTGAGATTGACATCCAATGATCGAGGGAAAAACAAAGAATGTTGGATGGACTATAGCGCTATATAAATACCCATATAATAATAATAATATTTTTACATATCAAATATAAATGTTACTGAATCAAACAGAGAGAAAACTTTCTGAAAATAGGCAGCTTGATAAAATCTTCAGAGAATTTTATTGTGGTCTGATAAATTTGTTCAGCCTAACTAAAGTATCACATATATAATATTGTAGTATTCTATGGGTTTTCTCTCCATATTGATTCAAGAATTTACTGGATCTAACAAAAAGAACATTTTCTGAAGAATGGGCAGCTTATATTTTCGTTTTTATCTTTCTATTGCTCCATTGTCAGTAGTTTGCTGATCTTGTGTTCTGGTTCCGTGACTAATCTGAAATTAGTACTGGTGACCAGGGTCAAGGCAAAGGCCAACTGCCTCGGAGATAGGATTAGTCGGTAGATGGGATCTTGGGATCTACTCAGGTGTTAACAGATACTCTCTCCTCCATATACTGATAAAGACAAGTAGAGGAACAGGTTGCACTGAGCAGAACAGTTTACTTTCCCTGTTTGATACAAATGCTTTAATAATGGACTTCACATCAACAAGCAAAACATACAAATGCATTTGCTCAAAATTACTTTCAAGATTTCAAGTTTATTGTCATATGTCCCACTCAACAATACTAAGAAAGATTTCCGCCCATATCCCCTCTTAATTTCATTCTAGTCAAATCGTATCACCTGAATATATATTCCTCATCCCTTAATATGTTTCTTTAATTGTATCTGAACATAGTGAAATATATATCCAACTTCTAAAAATGCCACTCAAAGAAAGTTTTCCTCATTGTTAAAATTTAGGGGGGATACAGGCGGAAGTCTTACACACCCAATACTCCAGCCTCTGTAAATACTTGATGGATCAATCTACGTAACTGGGATCATCTGGCCCAGTGTCGATTATTTACATTCCACGGTCAGCTGGATCATTGCTGAGTAAGGCATTAAATAACAAACAAACATTATAATTACCTGCCAGGTTGGTACACAGAGCAGTTGGCAGACAAAGACATGGGTTTTGATTGACAATATGTTATAGCCTGATAAGTGGCTCAAGCACTTTGACAAGCTGAAAACTACCAATTTGTGGTGTAGCTAATAAAGGTTTTTTTGTGGTCTAAGGACATTATATCTTTAACTTTCAGTTTTAAAGTTATTACAAGGACTTCCTGAGTTTCATGCTCAACTGATTGTACACATCTGAGACCCTGGATTTAGTTTCATGTAGGATAGCACCTGCTTTGCAAGATGACAGACATAAGCTGACTTGTCAGTGAGCTTGGGTAGGCAAGCTGTCAACATTGACCTCAGCTGTTTTGTCAGTTCAACCATGCTGATTACTCAATCACCTGAACTCAACTTCCTACATATACTGCCTGGAGTTATGAGTCGGACCTCATTGATACCCTAACAAGCACTCTGTGGCTTGTGATGATGTGGGGATAGGAGGGTCTCATGCCAGTAACATTATTTCCTCTGATACTTGGTTATGCTTGGGAACTAGTTGTTAGGAGAACACTATGGGATGACACTGGTCATGAACTGGAAGGTGAAACTCAAGAAGTGGGCAAGTGTTCCTGATTTTATTTGAAACTCACAAAAAAGGCAGTAGACCTCTGCTGTCCAGGGTGTGATTATACAAAACAACCCCAGCGCTGTGGCTGTCGTAAGCCTATGTGAATGTATGGGACTTACGATCACTGCTGAGATCACTTTATACTACACACCCTGCAGTTGTCTGTACTGTTATTTGTACCTAGAAGAAATGAAATCAGTTTATTTGAAGGAGTGAAATATAACTTTGATGTTCATCCAGTTGTGTTCAGTGTCCTTACTGTTATTTCTTATCAAAAAGAAATTATAGGAAAATATTGAATATTTTGCTTCAAGTTTGTCCTTTGATAAAAAATCTTGTATTGATTGAAGCTTTGATGTTTTCAAGAATATGCTGTGATCCTTTTTTGGTTTTCAATGTGGGAACTACCTGTACCATAAGCACCTAGTCTGAAGTTCCACTCTGGTAAAATTTTGTTTCAGCCTTGTAAACTTGTTTAATAAGTGTCCCTATAGTTACCCTTATATCTAAAAATGATTCCAATTGATAAAGGTCAAGCTGGGAGACTCAAAAGATATTGGGGCTAACTTGAGGATTGTCAATCATATATTATGGAAATGAATGTTTTGCTTTAAGATGCAAGTTTTTTTAACTGTTATTCTTATGTTTTTTCAGAAGGAGCTGAGTGTGACAAGAAGAGGAAGGTAAGGAAAAACTTCTTCCTCCGTTTAATGATCCATGTATGTGTGTCATATCGCGAGCAAACTGATTGACTGAGTATGGTTTTACGCCGCTTTTAGCAATATTCCAGCATTATCACAGTGGGAACACTAGAGATGAGCTTCACACATTGTGCCTATATGGGGAATCGAACCCGGGCCTTCAGCATGACGAGCACTTCAACCAATAGGCTACCCACAGCCCCCATAAGCAATATAATGTGAGGGCATTTGTCTGAGTTGCCACGATTGGCTGTGCAGAGTTGGGTCCCCACGACAACTCTGATGGTGGTTCAAATCACAGTTTGCCCTGATGTTCTTTCGTCAGCACCATACCACATCATACAAAAAACAAACAATGGAAGACACATTTTTATTGCAAATATTGGGGTCATGTGCTTTGTTCAGGATCACTTTCTAGAGTATATCAATATGCATTGACTTGAAGGATTATACAGAGGATCACTTTCTAGACTTAGTATATCAATATGCATTGACTTGAAGGATTATACAGAGGATCACTTTCTAGACTGAGTATATCAATATGCATTGACTTGAAGGATTATACAGAGGATCACTTTATAGACTGAGTATACAGTTTCAGTATGCATTGACTTGAAGGATTATACAGAGGATCACTGTATAGACTCTGTATATCAATATGCATTGACTTTGAAGGATTATACAGAGGATCACTTTATAGACTGAGTATATCAATATGCATTGACTTTGAAGGATTATACAGAGGATCACTTTATAGTAGTGGCGTTTACAGTTTGTAGAATAAAAATAAATTTTGTTAGAAAATTTTCAAAAAGTGCCTAAATGTTCATGAAAATCACAGTTGAAAGCCTAAAGGACTGAAATTTACTGTTCCATGGAGATAAGAACGGTGAATTAAAACTGTAACATACTGAGAAAGATGCTTAGCGTCAGGCTCAGGGCCTATATTTTCGAAGCTCTCTTAGCGCTAAGATAGTCGTAAGTGCCATACATTAACATTAACTTACGAATATCTTAGTGCTAAGAGAGCTACGAAAATCTAGGCTCAGATTAGTAGCTTCAGTAGTGCAGGAATCGAGCTGCATCCACATCAGATACATATATAATAGCACCTGATTCTTCATTGCCAGACAATTTAAAAAATGTGTACATTAAATGTATGAAATATTGATATATAGATATGCTTTAATCATGTTATACTCTAAGATACTCCAGTTGCGAGCATCGGGTAAACCGTACATTGGATGTGGTGGAATTGAAAAAAAACTATTATTCAATGAGTGGAATGAGAAAAGGGATTCTGTTTTTTTTCTATTTTGATTTGCAGTAAATTTCATTTCATTGATTTCTTTTGGGGTAATATTTCTGGAATCCAGTAAATAACACGCCAGCACCAAATGGATTCCGCACCAGCCTTCACCCTTGCTGCAGGTTCTTGGGGCTGATCACGAACCCATGGAGAACAGTTGTACATTTTCCAAATGATTAGAAAAAGGATGTAAATTTGATCAGGAGGTGTGTTGTTGTGATAGTAATTTGATTTGTGGAGTCAGCTCGTTCTCCCTGATCCAGACCAGCCATGGCTTGCGACAATCCTGACAAGTCCGACATTGATTTTTGGAAGGGCAAATTCTCTCCAATGGTATTGATTTCAAACCAACCTGTATGGTTTTTTATCTCCTTTCCTGGGGCTGCCTGACACTCGGAGGAAGATTTGGTGATTATTTGGGAGCCAAAAATATGGAACACTTTCAGTTGACCTTGACTTGAGTTAAAGAATGTAAGCTCAACAGCAGGGCTGGCTGTCAATATATTTCAGTGATTGATAATCGTTATCTACAAAATATTGATATTATATATTAATATATTGATATTGACTAATAAGTATTGAAATAGTACTTTGACAAAAAAATTATAAAAATGTAAAAAACAAAATCCACATTTTGCTTGACTCTTGTGCATGTTAAAACATTTGTGCATGGATTACTAACCAAAAACAGCATTCTGAAATGTAATTTGGGAACAGCCCATGAAATAAAACGTACGTTTGTCAATAACACAGTTTTCACATGAGGAAGAGACCCGTGAGCATCCAGGGTAGAATAGGTCTTCAGCAACCCACGCTTGCCACAAAAGGCATCTATGCTTGTTGTAAGAAGCGACTAACGGAATAGGGTGGTCAGGCTTGCTGACTTGGTTGACACATGTCATCGGTTCCCAATTGCGCAGATCAATGCTCATGCTGTTGATCACTGGATTGTCTGGTCCAGACTCGATTATTTACAGACCTCCGCCATGTAGCTGGAATATTGCTGAGTGCGGCGTAAAACTAAGCTCACTCACTCACATGAGGAAGAGAGTTTTTATGGATGTCATACTTCTTTATTATTATTTAAAGAAAAGTTGTGTTCCTCATAATAAAGAAAAGTTGTGTTCCTCATAATAAAGAAACATGTTCCTCATAATAAAGAAACGGCGTATTCTTCATAATAAATGCGAAACCGCGTGTTCCTCATAATAATGAGTGAAGCCCATTTCGGCCCCGCCGTGTTCTTCATAATCACTCAAGTCATAATACAGAAGCGTATTCTTCATAATAAAGAAACGTTGTGTTCCTCATAATAAAGAAATGTGTTCCTCATAATGAAGAAACGTTGTGTTCCTCATAATAAAGAAGATGACATCCATAAAAACTCTCTTCCTTATGTGTATCACTTCCAGATGCCATTCAAAGACATGACAGTTTCCATATGGATAATCGTTAATATTTCTCCCAGTTGATCACATTTCCCAATTATTGATTTTTCAACTGCGGCGAAGAATTATTTGAACGTGGATTATGTATATGTTCATGAAATGTTTAATTTGAGTAGGCAAAGAGGATATACCAGATAAGATTATGAGTCAGTGTTCTCACGTGTTATTGAATGTGTGGTCCAACATCATGTGATATTTGTAGTGTAGATTGTGGGGGCATTGTTTAAGTCACGATTAACATGATTATCGTCGTGAAGATAAACTTTATATCTTTCTTTTTTCTTCATATTGGTTATATTGATCAAAAGGATATCTTGTGTCACTTATTTTCTTGGAAAAGTTTATAGGTCATTTAGAAATTTCCCATTTCAATAATCTCCAGTACTGTCTCGAAATTTCAAAATGGGAAATAATATTTTGGGTGACAAAACTTGTTTTATTTCTTAGTGGGCGGGTGGGTAGCGTAGTGGTTAAAGCATTCGCTTGTCGCACCGAAGGCCTGGGTTTGATTCCCCACATGGTACAATGTTTGAAGCCCATTTCTGATGTCCCTCTCAGTGATGATCCTGGCTTTAAACAATTCTCACTCACTCAGTTCATTTCTTAGTAACCTTTTAAGAGAATTACACTTAATGGGAAATTGATCAGTTGGTTTTACTTAATCTATTGATGACACACGAAATATTTGTTTTATTTGGCTATTGGTCAACCTCGCTACAGTCCTCGCCACAAACAAGAAATATCCCGATTATTAATTAACGAGGGTAGCTGCATGTGTGCCAATTCCTGTAAAGTGAAAACAGCCTTTTCAGTTGTATTACCCACAGCAATGACAAACTTTTCTTGTGTGCTTTTAAAAAAGGATCTATTTTGCTTGATCCATTTTGAGGTTGCCAGCCCTGATGTCTGGCTGGATTTTTGGCTTATTTCATACACTGTTGAAAGTCGCATTATACCCTGCTTCCTAGCTTGCAACAATATCAGATGTTCATCAAATGTTTCCTTTCTTGCTACCGAAGTGGGAAGCAAATTTAGCATTAATAGAGTGGTTAGTTGGTGTTTTAGCGGAGGTTATCGAGTGACAGACAGGAAGCTTGATGATGTTATCGCCTGCTCGTGTTAACTAAGGTGTCACTTTGCTTAATGTGTCCGTCCCGAAATCCAATGGATTAGTCTGTACAAGACAAACTCTACGCAGTTTGTGACGTTAAAATGCTTTCTGGTCGTAGCTGATCTACACAGATTGGATCAATTAGATAAACAGATAATTTGATAAGCCTCTTGATTTATGCCTTGCTGATTGGATTTTTGTCTTATTTGGGAATTTGAATATGGATTGAGGAATTTGATGAGGAAAAACTGCTTTTCTTTGTCCATTCAAAGTAATAGAATCCACTATTTAGAAATGAAGAAAACTGGATACATATTTTAAAGATTTTTAGTTGATTTTCAGACTCTCTTCACTGTTTTTCTGTCAAATCATTCCATTTTAACCCTTGAGTATTCAGGGTGGAACAGGCTACCTTATCCTTTTGGTAAGATTATTTATGAAAGTTGGATGGTTATCATGCTCTGTGTGAAACCCATTTCTGGTGTCCCCCTGCCGTGATATTGCTGGAATATTGCTAAAAGCGGCATAAAACCATACTCACTCACTCATCATGCTCTGATAGTGTGGATTGCTTACCGCTGCATGTCTCAGACATTTCTAGTTATAGGCTGGACGGTGGAGTAGTCTAGTGGTTCAAGTGTTCGCTTGTTCTGCCGAAGAACAGGTTTGATTCCCCACGTGGGTAAAATGTGTGAAGCCTATTTCCGGTGTCCCCTGCTGTGATATTGCTGGAATATTGCTGAAAGCAGCAAAAAACTAAACTCACTCACCCACCAGTTACAGGTTGAAGTGACAGGTAGGATGAATGCTGTTCTGGGTGTTTTGATATCAGGGTGGCAGAGATATTCATCCAGCAGTATGAAGATTGAACATTACACATTGTACCCATGTGAGTTATGTGGGTAATGACAGCCAGGTCTTCAGCAAGATAAAACAATGTTTTAATGATTCAGCAACTCCATTGTGGGCTGCCTTGTTCATTATGGTTGTTCATAGTAAGGAAGTAAGGACAGTGACACCAGTAATTCACTCTGTGATTTCACAAGTAGGATTTTTGGTACACTTGTCAAATTTGGGATGACACTTTCTCAGAAAAGTACAGATTGTAATACTGTTTTTGGTTCAGTCCCATCCAGGATTCAAACCCACACTCGCAGAGTGAGCCACCTAGTTCCAACCCGAAGAGACACAGTGGCATTTTGTATTCATAGGACTTTTATTATTCCATGATGTCCTGGGAATTTGTGGAATATGGTCATCTTTAGCCAATGAATGCCTCTTCCAATAAAAATCAGCAGTCAGCAGGTTGAAAGTGTTTTGAAGTTTATAGATTATTAGGTTGTTGGCTCATCTATGCACAGTATCCATGCTTTCCCCAAAAATATCATTGCTTGAAATCGAAATGTATCATGTAATTTGTCCCACCTACAACTAAGAAGCCGTGGTTTTCAACTCAACAGCTTGGTGTGTGGTGGTCAGTGATAGACATGTAGAAGTAATTGATGTGTTTTCGTCAAATCTAATGACACAGCTCGTGTTAGCACTATTTTCCATCCCTCTCTTATTGATTTCATGAAGCCGGAGGTTGTTGGCAGCGCACCCACGGTGTCAAACACCTCCTCCGGCAGGCGGCTCTGTCGAGCTTTTGGAAAAACATTTCAGTGAAAGGAGAATTCTCTCTCTCCTCATTCTCCTCTCTCACTTTTAGATTCAACTTTCTTTCATTTTGAGGGATTCTGAAATTAGGCTTCTTTTTACAGTTTGGCTGTTACCGGTAATTGTATTTGGCAGTGAGTCTTTGGAGGATTCGACTGCAGTTGCAGCACACTGAAGTGTGGAAGTCATTGACATCTCTAGACGTTTCAATCAATTTTATTTTTGGTTTAGTGGATTTTCTGTGCCATTTATGACGTAATAAGGGAAGTGTAGAAAACTAGATCCACAAGTAGTATTTAACATATTAGATCGTGTAGATCTTCACATTTTTGTTTGTAAAAGTTAGGCTCATTTGCAAAATATCTAAAAGAATTAAATTGGTCGGGTCCCTACTTTTATACTGTAATTCACTGTGGCGTCATTGTAAAGATGATTGTGAAGAATGATACTGGCGTGATGTATTTTAAGGTTTTACCATTTCTTCTTGTGTAAAGGGTATAAATGTACAGAATAAATTCTATGTATCAAGCTGCCATTTTGGTATTCCAGATCTGCATGATTTAAAACAACAAGTAAATGTTTTAAAATTCATTATGAAACTCCTGTGATTACTTTTCTTGGGTTAAGAATTTGAATTTATGACAATACAAAGGTAGAGGCTAAGATTATCAAAATATGATTTGATAGGTTTTGGGAAGATTTTGTCTGATACTGGAACATGTCCCTGGCTCTGACCGGGTTTATCTTGGTAAACCAATGACATGATGGTTGTGTGCGAGACAATGTGATGCAATGCAAGTGATATCTCCTGTAGGAGCCTGTTATGGTTGATTATTGTTTTTGTCTTGGGTCACAGACTCAATTATATCTATAGATATTGTTAAAAGCGGTGTAAAACTAAATTCATACAACCAGTCCTCATTAAGCTGACACCCATTTAGGAATCAGTATTATTGTTCAAGGTGTCATTGATCTCAACACGCTCACTTTGTCCTCAACAAACTTTCACTAATGCAGCACTTGGCAAGGGATAGTGTTTGTAGCAGTTTATGATTATACAGATGCTTGGTATTCACAGCGACACATGCATAATGAAAACACTCTAATGTTTCCGTTCCCACCTCATGCAGCCATCTGCAGTAGTATGTGGGCAGTGGTCCAAGGCCCTGTGTTCTCTCCAAGGACATTCTACATGTCTTTGCGGTGAAGGGTAAATCTGTCACAGTCATAAACACCATCAATTATGAAGCAACGTGCAAACATGTTTACAAGCATTTAAGTTGTTACCAGCCCAAATCTTTTCGTGAATGTCAACAACGAGAGAGAGAGAGAGAGAGAGAGAGAGAGAGAGAGAGAGAGAGAGAGAGATCAACCATTATCGTTTTTCTTTCGAATCAGCTTATGTTACAGACTGTTGCTTCCTCGTCAGATGGTCAAATGATGAGAAAATGATTGCCAGGGCTGTTATGCTGGCATATCTTTTGAAACAGATGTCAAAGTCCAAGGAGAAATTACACCGAAGGCAGGCAGCATTTTCAAACCAACATGGCGTTACATGAAACGTAACCGACAGATGTAGTGTGTGTGTGAAATCAGTGGTTATGACTGATATTCTTTCAGCCATACATTGAGTCTTGGCTGTCAAAGTATCCATCCTCACATGGGGCCTGTTTATTCTGGGTTGTTGCCAGGTTTTGGAATGTGTCTGATAGGGTAGTCAGAGTTGCCTCCCTTGGGTTGGTTAAGGAATCATGATTTGAGATTTTATGGTGCTTCATGAAGTTGTGTTTGCAGTAGAAATTCAGCAGTGGTCACTGGCGGTATGTTAACATGAATAGGAATATTTTTAACAGGGGAGGGCCATTTTTCAAATAGCCTTCTACTTACCTGGATTAGTAATTGGATACAGTATGTGTAGATCTTAAAGCTAGCATTGTCATTGGTCTATGTTAAAGGATGACAGACTTTGTGGATCGAGCCCCTGCAATTGTCATGGATTAAACAAGAAGTTGACATCCATAATATTTTGTCTTATACTTGTCATGGATTGTCGGATATGTGGTTCAACTATTTATTGATGGTAATAGATTTAAGTGAGTACTCTTAAATTCAATGTGTGAAAACATGGCTTGCTGGGTTATGATACACTTTCAATGTTTGAATTAATTAAGAGTGAACATGTTGATCACTGGATTGTCTGGTCCAGACTCGATTATTTACAGACGCTGCCATATAGCTGGAATATTGCTGAGTACGGCGTAAAACTAAAAACTCACTCACTCACTAAGAGTGAACATCAAGAGGTCCTTGTCTAAACCCTGAAGTGAATAGTGAAGATTTTCTGTGTGCCAAGATGACGTTAGCAAAATCAAATTATTTTCAAACATATATCGGGAAACACAGGTTTTACCTGGGTCTGTCTAATCTTGAGTGGGCTGAGGGGTATGGGAAGGATTTTGATGACATCCTATCATTGCACATGCTGCCATGTGCAGATCAGGGGAAGGGATGAAACTTATAAGCAAGTTGTGGCCTTTCTCCTCGTTGTCGGCAGCCTGGTGGCCTATTTTAGAAATTGGAGCCTGCTGAGATAGGATGTTTTGCATCCCATGAGGCGACAACCAGAATCGGGTGTTTCTTGTTCAGTTGGTTAATGCATGCAATCACATCCCTATTGTGTAGATGTTCATCACTGGATTGTCTGGTCCTGTTTCACATCCCTATTGCTTAGATGTTCATCACTGGATTGTCTGGTCCTGTTTCACTTATTACTAGGCCACTGTTTTAAGTGGAATATTGATAAGTGTGGTTTTAAACATCAAACCAACATGCAAAAACACAAGCTCTGACATCTTATCCAATAACAGATGGGCTTTTCAATGTTTTTACAGAAAAAAGAGAACCATTAACACATGTTTATTTGTTAGGAACCAAAATATATATTTGAGTCATGTGCTTCCTGCTATCATAAATAGTTTAGATTCTTTTGTTTTTGCCTTTTAATTATAATTTGTCATTGATACAAGGGCAGTGGCCAATTCTAACTTCAGAAAATGGCTAATAATCCTGAAAATTGGCCATTGTCAAAGTTCTCTATCCCAATCCCTGATTATATCAGCTATGATATTGATAAATGATCGATCTGCTTCTTGAAAGTTTCCTGATTTCCTGCAGTGATTTTATAAGTGTTTCCATTCTTGTCAGATCCGGGGGGCATATAGCCCTGTTATATAAGCCACAGCATTTCACAACAATTCCCTAAGGTGTGTAAGAAACACATGATCTTCGATGTAAAGGAGACTTTAAAAAAGGCAACTCGCCCAGGTCCAACTAAAGAATCTTCATTCTTGATGCATGCTGTTTGTTGTGATCTCAATAAATTGTGTGTAATATAGCATGAAATGTTTCTCTTCCAGTCGTAAGAAGACTGTCCATGGATCCACTACCTCGCCCACCTTACCTCAGAGATGTCCCTCACCACAGATACTTGGTAAGTCCCCTTTTGTATCGACCTGTGAAGAGCCAGGTTAGAATTGATCTTCAGTAACCCATGCTTGTCGTAAGAGGCGACTAACAGGTACGGATGGTCAGGCTCGCTTACTTGGTTGACACGTCATCGTATGCCAATTGCATAGCTTGATGCTCATGCTGTTGATCACTGGTCTGGTGCAGACTCGATTATTTACAGACCTTCGCTATATAGCTGGAATATTGCCGAGTGCGACGTCAAACAACATTTTGGATCTGGGTGAATCCCAAATTCACACTGATCATTGTTTTGTCAAAACCATAGCTTTGTTTGTTGGCTACACCATGATTTGTACTTCACTAAGTGTTATCTTAAATATAATAGGTTACTTCTGACCATTTTCTAAAAGGCTTTGTATATTCATAGCTTTCGACAGTGAGAGCTATGCCAATCTTTACTTTTCAGAAGTGTACACAAAGTATGTAATCTAGACTACCAGTTGCCAGATTTACATATTTGTGGAAGCCTTGGTGGCTGAGTGGACTGAGTCATTGGCTTTGAGTTCTGGCGATTAGGAGTGTGTGGGGTTAAATCCTGGATGGGTCTTATCTCAGAAGTACCCGTGAAGGTCTGGGTTAGAATGAACCTTCAGTAACCCATGCATGTCGTAAGAGGCGACTAACGAGATTGGGTGGTCAGGCTTGCTGGCTTGGTTGACACAAGTCATCATATCCCAATTGTGCAGATCGATGCTCATGTTGTTGATCACTGGATTGTCTGGTCCAGACTCGATTATTTACAGACTGCCGCCATATAGCTGGAATATTGCTGAGTGCGGTGTAAAACTAACCTCACTCACTCACCTGGGGCTTTTTTACCCACCTGGGCTCACATGCTGTAATGTAAGTGAAATACTGCATAGTATGTTAATCTGAACTCATTCACTTGTTGCTTGCGTAAGAAAACATTTGCTGATGCGTGATGTCTTGAATTGAGTTAATTTCAGGTCATAGCTGATCTTTTGTTGTAGTGAGATTGGTTCTGGTGAATATGTTTTCAAAAGGATTGCTCAGAATCACTGATAACGATAGAAGTATTAGCTCAGAAGAATGGTTTATGGAGCTTGTTTTTTCAAGGGAGGTAACTCTCCCTGCCATAACAGATCCGTACTGGGTGTGTTTGTGTCAAGAAATTGAAGCTTAGATAAGTATTAAGTGAATCTTTACTCGCCATACAAATAAGATTTACCGTGTATTACCGTAGATAAGGTGATCCCATAACCTGACCCTTAAAATCAGTATCAAAATGGTATGTTTTGTACATAATCCGACCCCTTGCAATGGGGTCCTAATCGCGGCCAACTCAGACCACAAGACAACTGGCAGTTACCGATAATTATATCTTCGGTCCGCATTATTCACAGCAATCACTAACATATTGCATCTACTCACGTCTTGAAATGAAGTGTAGTTGTTAGAAAATGGATACTTATATATATTGTTTCACTAAGTGTCACCTTTATTGTACGCTGACGATCACATTCACAAACTGATTACCACCTCGTCATCCATGGACCATTAGTTTACAGTAACACGTGATGAAGACAGTGATGACTATACATAGTTTTTACATTTTTTGAGCAAAACCTGTAATTTAAATTTCACAATGCAAGGATATATTTTAGTTAGTAAAATAATGGTTTTAGATATTATATTTTACCGATCACTGCATCAGAATTCACCTCATTATATTATTGGGTATATTTAAACTAAATCACCAGTAGATCGCCGGGAAACGTGTGCACAGCTGATTGCTATTTACGGGTCTCTATATACGAGACAAATACACGTGGTTATCTTAATCCCTACATAAAAGAAATTAGAACTGAAAAGGTAAATAATCTTGTCTAGTGATGTTTAATTGCAACTTTGACGTCTTTACTGACAAAGTCTTTTTCTCTTGCTCGTTCATGCAAACGATACGATGTTGTTTCCTTACTGGTCACCAGAAAAAAAGTTTGAAAGTGTCACCCGTAGATAAGCCGACCCCCTTCTGCAGGCTGTGTGTTTTGGTCTTACACATAATATACGGTATTCAATGATTGTTTGAAAATTGAATTAAAAAAAAATGTACAGGGCAAAAATACATGATTTTACCCAAAACAGTATATTATTACAATTTTATTTAGTCATTCTTTGTTATTTATGCCACTATAACATTCACAACTAAAACCATGTTAGAATTTGTAAATATTGCTGTACTGCTGTTTATACTTGTTGCCATGTCTATAACAGGGAGATAATTTGTCATGTTCAAGACATTTCATTCTTCAGATTCTTTCTTTCTCTTTTTGTTGAACACAAGTAGTTTTTTCAAAATAATGAATCCGTGTACGGAAAGAAATCAGCATCTGGAACCAGTGGCCTTGAATAGTCTTTAGTAGAACATGTTATTGATTTGTCCGTGATGGGAAAATTACAGGGAACTCTGACAGGAAATGGTATGTGTATGTCATCTTGTTATCGTGCCCTCTGGTTTAGGCGAACTAATGAAAGGACACATATGATCCGTGCGGAAAAAATAATTGTGATGAGAGGTAGCAGGTGCCAGACTGGTGATCGGACTTGGTGAAACTCTTATCGTGTCCACGTCTTAATGCACAGTTATTTCCAGTATTTACCACCTTGTTGTTTTATTGATTTTGTGAGCACTGTAAGTTTTGTGATTGATGAATGATGTATGATGGATAGACTCTAAAAGCATAAAGCAGCAGACTGGAAAATTTGTTTGTTTTGATAAGAATGTAACTGATTTTGAATAAGGACGGACATATTTATTTAACTTACCTCAGCCTTTTGGTGCTTCAGGGCGTTGGGGTAGCCTAGTGGTTAAAGCGTTCGCTCATCACGCCGAAGACCTGGGTTTGATTCCCCACATGGGTACAATGTGTGAAGCCCATTTCTGGTGTCCACCATCGTCATATTGCTAGAATATTGCTAAAAGCGACGTAAAACCAATATCACACACACTTTTGGTGCTTCATTCTGTGAAATGTTCACAGACTTTTTTTATCTGTTTTCGTGTCGGGTTTACACAGATTAAATTTTGTTGACATACGTGTTGATTTGTTTTCTTTGCATGTTCAGTTTAATTGTTTCTTGGAATGATGAGCGTGAAACTATTGAAATATATGCTTCTAGCTGATGCAAAGACTGAACAAAATTCTCATAGAAATCTCCCTTTGACAGTTTGATGTTGTTTCCTGAAGTGGAAAATGATTTGGTTACTTATGCAAAAGATTTTGTATGTTTGGCATTTGTTCATATGGAGCAAGTATTCAGTCATTGATCACATGGAGTCCTTTCAGAAATTGAAAGTAAGGATAGATTCCCAGTGTTGGACATGATGTTGCATGTGACTTAAAATACTTACATCTTTATACACTGGTGATACTGTTGAACAACTGACGTTTGGAATAATGGATGTTTCACGTTTGATGATCATGTAACAAAGGACAAACGAAATATAAATGGCTGCTGTGAATGTCATTGTAACCTCTTGATAGATATATAAGTAAATCGACGTACCCTGATTACCATCTTATTTCTGATGGGCAAAGGGAGTAAAGCGATGTGAAAGTGGGTTGTGATGCAGCTAGCCAGATCATCTTGCTTGTACTGAAAAAGCTGGAGGCCATTTTGTATCCTAGCCCAGAAACGTTGTGAAAAATAGATCAAGAAGTTGTTATCCATAAGATTCGTCTTGTATTACTACACCAACTTCTAAATGCCTTTGAAGAATTTCATTTTGTAAAGATAGAATGTCCTGTGACACAAGATTAGCAGCAGTTAAAATTGCAGATGCCATGGGCCGGAATATGGACCTTGAGTGGATTATAAACCCTGAGTAAGTGGACAAGCAAACGGCTGCTTACTGACTTGAATCAAACTGGCTGTAGTAGTCCCCGATCACATATTTAGGACTGCTAATTGAAACTGACAGTGTACCCATGTAATTAAAGCAACCATTGGCTGGGACATTGTTAAACCAGCAGTGTATCTGGACCTACTGAGAGACTGATATTTGGACTCACTGACTTGGTTGACACACGTCATCGTATCCCAACTGCGAAGATCGATGCTCATACTATTGATCACTGGATTGGTCTAGACTCGATTATTTACAGACCTCTGCCATATAGCTCGAATATTGCTGAGTGCGGTGTAAACCTAAACTCACTTACTGATATTTGGACTCAAGTCCGCACAGCAAAATCACCAAATTGGAATTACAGATGTCTCAGTTCTTGTCATAGAATAATTACTTATATGGCTTCGTGAAAACAGCATGTATTTCACTGACCAAAGTGGTAAAATAAAGCAATTTCCCTCTAAGTGCCTGCCAAGGGCACGATACGAGTCCTTGATTTATCCTTGACCTATTAGAACTGGACTGAACTCAACAAATGGAATCTTGCTTTAACTGCCATTTTTTCAGACCAGATCTCCCTTTTAATATGATTCCAGTGGAAAGTGTCTTAAAAGATTTTAAAAGAGAACTTTAAAGAAGTCAATGACATTAGGGTGTATTGATTCATTGAACAGTTTCAATGGCTTGTAATTATGTTATCAAGCTTCCTTGGATTCCATAATGTGGTTAGAAACTAGATCACTACATCTTTCCACAGGGGGCAGTGGGGTAGTCTAGTGGTTAAAGCATTCGCTTGTCATGCTGAAGATCCGGGTTTGATTGCCCACATGGGTAGAATGTGTGAAGCCCATTTTTTCTGGCGTCCCCTGCTGGAATATTGCTAAAAGCATCCACTCACTCACTCACTCACTCACTCACTCCACTCACTCACTCACTCACTCACTCACTCACACTACTCACACCACTCACACCACTCACTCACACCACTCCACTCCACTCCACTCCACTTACTCACTCACAACATCTAATATCAACAAAGTTAAACATGGAGAAGGATCAATGGCAAACATTAAGTCAGAGGTGTGATGTGT